AATCAAAGAAGCGACCTTGGATTTGTCCCGGATGCTTCTTGGCCAGAATCTCAAGGCGGATCCAACCGTGGCGACGAGAAGGCCCTTAGAGGCCCAGAATGATCAGGAAACCAAGAAACAACTTTCTTGGTGGCGCGCGCAGGGGGGAAGTGAGAGGGGTCAGACCTCAGAAGGCGACGGGGCTTCTCAGCAGCCCTCCAGCCTTCTGAGAACTTTTTTCTTTGTCTTCGGAGGAGGCTGAGAAAAGTCGTTGACGCTTCGCATATCCCCACCAGCCGCACGGCCCCGGCGCAGCTGCTCCCCCCGGCGGTAGGTCCTGCTCTCTTCTGCGGTAGGTCCTGCTCGTAGCCCGAGCCGACTCGACCCGCTGCTGGCGCCTTCGCCTGCGGCTGCGACAAACATGATGGACCCACGAACCCGGAAAGGGATATAGACATGTGGAGCATGGGCACGTTTTCACGATACCCAACGGGGCAACACCTCACGAAACATCCCACGAGACACCTCACGAAACATCCCACGAGACACCTCACGAAACATTCCGCGAGACACCTCACGAAACATTCCACGAGACACCCCGCGAAACATTCCACGAGACACCCCACGAAACATTCCACGACGACAGGCAACCACTCAACCAAGGCGGTGTGGTCGTGCTGGGGAGTGGTCGTGCTGGGGAGTGGTCGTGCTGGGGGGTGGTCGTGCTGGGGCGTGGTCGTGCTGGGGGGGTGGTCGTGCTGGGGGGTGGTTGTGCTGGGGCGTGGTCGTGCTGGGGCATGGTCGTGCTGGGGCGTGGTCGTGCTGGGGCGTGGTCGTGCTGGGGTGTGGTCGTGCTGTGGTGAGGTCGTGCTGGGGTGTGGTCTTGCTGGGGTGTCGTGCTGGGGCATGGTCGTGCTGGGGCGTGGTCGTGCTGGGGCGTGGTCGTGCTGGGGTGTGGTCGTGCTGTGGTGAGGTCGTGCTGGGGTGTGGTCTTGCTGCTGGTCTTGCTGGGTGTCGTGCTCGTGCTGGGGTGCTGGGGTGGGTCGTGCTGGGGTGTGGTCGTGCTGGGGTGGTCGTGCTGGGGCGTGGTCGTGCTGGGGGGGGTCGTGCTGGGGTGTGGTCGTGCTGGGGTGTGGTCGTGCTGGGGCGTGGTCGTGCTGGGGCGTGGTCGTGCTGGGTGGTCGTGGGGTCGTGCTGTGCGTGCTGGGGTGTGGTCGTGCTGGGGTGGTCCGCACCCTGTGATTCATCGATCGGGTCGTGCTGGGGTGTGGTCGTGGTGGGGTGTGATCGTGGTGGGGTGTGGTCGTGTTGGGGTGTGGTCGTGCTGGGGTGTGGTCGTGCTGGGGTGTGGTCGTGCTGGGGTGTGGTCGTGCTGGGGCGTGGTCGTGCTGGGGTGTGGTCGTGCTGGGGTGTGGTCGTGCTGAGGTGTCCCGCACCCTGTGATTTGTCGATCGGGATTTCAAAAACAAGCGTTTCGCCTGAGACATCCTCAAATTTTAATCCGCCGGCCTCCTTCGACCTCGATATTTATCAGGGAAAGAATCCGCCGGCCTCCTTCAAGTTGGGCACGGGGACATTGTTTACATACTAAAAAAGAACCCTGGGCCTACGCCCTTTCCAGGAAAAAGTATCCCCACCAGCCCATCCGGAAACGATGCCGAATTGCCATGGGCAAGGACGTGGGGGAGCATACAGAGGCACACAGGGATGGAGAAACCGTCGTACCCCAAGAGGGGGAAGAAGGAAAAGGATTCGGAGGAGGAGAAGGAGGAGGAGGAGAAGGAACAGGAGGAGGAGGAGGAGGAAAGCGAGGAGAAGTAAGGAGGAGGATGACGTGGAAAAGGACGAGGAGGAGGAGGAGGAGGAGGAGGAGGAGGAGGTAGGGGAGGGGAGGAGGCAGGAGGGAGGAGGAGGAGTAAGCGGATGCGAAGGAAAAGGAGGAGGTGGAGGGAAAGGGGGAACAGAAGAGCCAGAAGCCTCTTGAATGCCTCTCGGAGTCTCTTCCAATGTCGCTTGGAAGCTGTTTGGAGGCCTCTTGGGGCGTCGAGGGGGGGGGGGCATCTTGGCGGGCCCAGGGCCGTCTTTGAGCGCCTTGGGTGCCTCGGGCATCCTCTTGAGGCATCTTCCAGGTCTCTTGGGAGCCTCTTGGAGGCCCTTTGGGCGCCTCTTGGACCCGTCTGGGCGCCTCTTGGGGCTTTCTTGGGATGGTCTTGGGAGCTTTAGGGGCGCTCTTGGGGCCATCTTGGAAGACATCGATCAATTACACCCGAGAAGAGCCCAATCAGTGGATGGTTTGAAAATTCCGCAGGCACTATGCCTGGCCGCAGTTTCGCCGCAGGGCCCACAGAGGCCCTAAATAGCAAGTCTTTGTTAGTTTTAGAAGGGTTGTGCCATTCTCGCCTTCTCGGGATTGCGCCGGTTCGAAACAGCCGAAGAGGCCTCCAACATACGACTTCAGAGGGCCCGTCGACGGCCCAATACGGCCCTGCTTCTCCTCCTCATCCTCCATTGCGTTAAAACGCTGTGCCGTGCTGGGCTGGGGTGGGCCAGGTTGGTCGGCTAACGCCAGGAGGACGCCATGTTGTTAAGTCTCCATGCTGGGCCGGGGTGGGCCGGGCTGGCCAGCTGAAGCCTGGGGGACACCATTTTGAGAACTCGCCCGCTTGGGCGGGTATGGGCGACGTTTGGCGATTGGCCGGCCTCTCCTCTGGGGGTGTTCTGCGCTTCCTCCCTCGTCAGCTTCCTTATCTTCCTTCTCTTCTCTCCTCCTCCTCCTCCTCCTCCTCCTCCTCCTCCTCCTCCTCCTCCTCCTGCTCCTCCTCCTTCTCATCCTCATCCTCATCATCCTCATCCTCCTGCTCCTCCTTCTCCTTGGTCCTTTCCTCCCCCCCATGCCGATTATCCTCCTCCTCCTCCTCCTCCTCCTCCTCCTCCTCCTCCACTGTGCTAGAACGTTGTGCTGGACTGGGGTGGGCTGGGTTGGTCAGCCAAAGCCAGGGGGACCCCCATCTTGTTGAGTCACCGTGGTGGGCTGGGATGTGCTCGGTTGGTCGGCCAACGCCAGGGGAGCCCCATTTTGTTAAGTCGCCGTGCTGGGCCTCCTCTTCCTCCTCCTCCCTCCTTCTCCTCCTGCTCCTACTCCTCCTCCTCCTCCTGCTCCCGCCTCCTGGTCCCGCCTCCCCTGCTCCCTCCTGCTCCCTCCTCCCTCCCTCCTGCTCCCTCCTCCTCCTCCTCCTCCCTCCCTCCTCCTTCTCCTCCCTCCCTCCTCCTCCCTCCCTCCTCCTCTCCCTCCTCCTCCTCGTCCTCCTCCTCCTCTGGCGTTTGTCGACTTCTTCATTTTCGATAATGAGATCGATAGAGATGTCCATTGAGTGAGATGGATCGTGAGATCGATAGCGAGTGCAATCGTGGGATCCATGAAGACATGGATAAGGACATCGACCGAGAACCCGGAAACCAGGGAACCCCGCAGCCGACACAAATCGACCCGGAACCAGCAACTGGGATTCTTGGAACCAGGAACCTGGGAACCCAGCCGCATACCGAAATCGGCCCAGATTGTTCGCCAAATCTTTCAACATCCGCTAGGACCCCTTTATTGCAAGGGCTGATTAAGGAAATGCTTATTATTCGCCTGAATGTGGATTCTCTACGTGTGCATGTATGAATGTAGTTCTGTATCCCGAAACTGGCTCGTGGTGTCCAGTGGTTGGGTAGTGAGAGATGATAGTGTAAGCAATAGTAAAATCGATTGTGATACTGATAGTGTGATCGTTAGTGAGTTTGCTCGTGGGATGGATAATGAGATCGATGGTGAGATCGATAGCGAGAGCGATAGTGAGGACGATAGTAACGTCCATAGTGAGACCGACAGTGAAGTCGATAGAGTGAGATCGATCGTGAGATCAATCGTCTGTGAGGAGATCGATCGCGAGATCGGCAGTAAGATCGATAGTTCGATCGATAGTCAGATCGATTGTGAGATCGATAGAGACGTCGATAATGAGATCGATCGGGAAACCGATAGTGAGATCGATTGAATGAGTCCATAATTAGCTCGGTAGTCATATCGATAGCGTGGTCGATTATAGTATCGATACTGAAATCGATGTTGAACGGGATGAATCGTGAGATCGATCATGAGATTGATTGTGAGCTCGACCGTGGCATCGATAAAGAGATCGATTGAGAAATCAACCGGGAACCCGGGAACCCTGGAACCAACACCGAAATCGAACCAGAACCAGCAACCAGGAACCTCGGAACCCAGAACTGGGAACCCAAGAACCCAGCCGCCCACCGAAATCGGCCCAGATTTTCCGCCAATCTTTCAACATCCGCTAGGACCCCTTCAGTGCA